ATCAGTTTTAAGAGTACGTAGTTACTTTTCGGTATCATTTTGAACACAATCCGTCTCCCCGATCGTGACAACAACCTGTGCATTCAGGATACCTTTATTGCCTGGATGCATTGGAACAGTAGAGCTTTCACTCCATACACCATATTCGTCGTCGATTTCATCGCGGTCTGTGTGGAACAGATCCGCTCCTTTTCGCTTACCTCACCCACGCCTGAAGGAGTTTGCAAGTTGGTCGTGTCAGACATGATCACAGCCACCCATCTTGTTTCCCATTTGGGACACTGGCGAATTATTGTACGAATCTGAGTCGGAAGACACTCGGGGAGTCATCTCGCCCTATGTCCGCCCTGGTTAGAGACAGCGTCGATGTGTTAAGGTAAAGAGGTGGACATAAGGTTAGCCAGCACCCAAACTGACTCAATTTGGCTTGGTAGTGTCTGGTTGACGAACTGAGTTCGAGAGAGTCCGTCCATTGTGTCACGCAATTGAGACAGACATGCCTAATGTTGTTAGAAGTGGGTCTACTCCCATTCCCTTGAATGCAGATTTGAATAGCAGGAGTGAGCTTTATCGAAAATTTGTCATACGAGGCTGACTATGAGGCTTGTGCGTTTGTCCCTTTTTAAATAAACGGTCGTCCCTAGACTGACTACATTTGACCTTCATGATAGACCTCTTGCTTTGCACAAGCACACAATGGCCCACGAAGAAGCTCAGGTGTTTGGAGATGAACCAGCTCTGATACTATGCCTTCCCAAGTTAAACGAACTTCGCATGGCAGGCGAATTGACTGATCTGGCTATTGAGGTAAGTGTGCAGAATGATTCCGTCATCCTCTTTTTGCATTTTAAGTTGCAAGACCACGTCACGCTTCATGTGCACAGCGTGGTTTTGGTCTCCAGAGTGCCCTCGCTACATAATATCGTGTGTGGAACGCCTAGGAAAAGGCTGCCTTTTTCGCTCCAATGGCCGACAGTCTCCTCCGAGTACTACGTCATTTTATATAACGAGTGCCCTCTAGAGCCGCTATACCCCTGTTAGATTATGTTTACACGGGTAAACTTGAAGTCAATGGGGCTAATGCTGAGGGTCTGGTGATGCTGTCGAAACAACTTGTACTGCCTCAGGTTCAAGAATGGG